TCTTCCATTCCAATTTGTATGCTTTTTATTTTTTCTTTTTTGCCTAATTGCTCTTCCTAGGACTTCCAATACTATGTTAAATAAAAGTGATAAGAGTGGACGTCCATGTCCTGTTCCTGATCTTAGAGGAAAAGCTTTCATCTGTTCACCATTGAGTATGATGTTAGCTCTGGTCAGATATGGGCTTTATTCTGTTGAGGTACATTCACTCACTACCTCAATCACTATCCATAAATCTCGAGATTTTATTAAGAAGGGATGCTGAGTTTTGTCAAAAGCTTTCCCTTTGTCTCCTGAGATAATCATATCATTTTTATCCTTCATCTTGTTAATGTGTTGTATCACATATTTTTAATACTTTTAAGCTTTAAACTAGCTTTATAAGCAATTAATCCACTATCTTTACTATATCTTTACCTTCCCAGTGAAATTTATTTTCACATGTGTTCTTGTTACCAATTAGTACCCTTTTCAGCTTAAAGAAGTCCCTTCACCATTTCTTGTAAGGCCAGTTTAATGGTGATGAACTCCTTTAGTTTTTGCTCATCTAGAAAACTCTTTATCTCTCCTTCAATTCTGAATGATAACTTTGCTGGGTAGAGTATTCTTGGTTGGATTTTTTTTTTCATTTAGCACTTTAAATATATTGTGCCACTCCTTATAGTCTTAAAGGAGTTCCCTTGTATGTAACAAATTATTTTTCTCTTGCTGCTTTTCAAATTCTCTTCTTGTCTTTTAACTTTTGACATTTTAATTATAATATGTCTTGGTGTGTGTCTCTTTTGGTTCATTTTATTTGGAACAGTCTAGGCTTCCTGGATCTGGATATCATGTTGTTCAACCATGCCTCAGCTCTTGGTTTTCTCTCAACCCTTTGTGCTCGTCCAAGTAGCCTATTATGTTTTTAATAACACTTAGTAGTTAATGATGTGCTAAACCTGTCAGTGTCCCAAAGGGGAGAATCTCAATGCCAAGATCTGGGCTGATTAGAAGCCAGACCCTCAGGCCTCAGCTCTTAATAGTATGCAAATATATAGTGCCATGCGACTGCAAGAATAAACCCCACTGTCCAGCAGAGCCAGGCAATCTGGAGGTGTCCCTTGGACAGAAGTCACAAAACTGGGGCTCCAGACAAGTGTATAGGCTCTTTTCTGTGAAGTACTGGTGAACTGGAGCGAGGGAGGCAGGGAGTGCCAAGATGGCATCTATAGCCCACATTCCTTGAGAGCAGCTTGGTGAGCCACTAGATGTGTAGCAAATTTGAAGCCTGCCCCTGAGGCTGAAGCTCCAGAAGAAGCAAAGAAACTGTCTATTCAGACTCTCTGCCCATTTTTAATCAATTTCTAAAAAAGTTTGATTTTAAATTCCAGTTAGTTAACATACAGTGTATTAGTTTCAGGTGTACAATTTAGTGATTAAACACTTCCATACACCTGTGCTCATCCCAATAATTGCACTCCTTAATCCCCATCAACTATTTAATCCATCCCCTCACCCACCTCCCCTCTGATAACCATGTTTTTTCTCTACAGTTCAGAGTCTGTTTCTTGGTTTGCCTCTCTGTTTCCCCCATGCTTGTTTTGTTTCTTAAATTCCACAGATGAGTGTAATATGCTATCTTTCTCTTGTTTTGCTTAGCATACTCTCTAGCTCCATCCACATCACTGCAAATTTCAAGACGTCATTCTTTTTTATGGTTGAGTAATAGTCCATTGGGTGTGTGTGTGTGTGTGTGTGTGTGTGTGTATGTGTATATACACACTTCATCTTCTTTATCCATTCATCAGTTGATGGACCCTTGGGCTGTTTCCATAGTTTGACTACTGTAGACAATGCTGCTATAAACACTGGGGTGCATGTATCCCTTTTCACTAGTATTTTTGTATCTTTTTGGTAAATTCCTAGTAGTGCAATTGCTGGATTGTAGGGTAGTTCTATTTTTAAATTTTTGAGGAACCTCTATATTGTTTCCCAGATTTTTTTTTTAAGATTTTATTTATTTTAGAGAGAGCAAAAGAGCATGAGCAGGGGAAGCTGTGGAGGGGGAGGGAGGGGAAGAATCTTAAGCAGATTCTGTGCTGAACATGGAGCCCGAGGTGGGGCTTGATCTCAGGACTCTGAGATCATGACCTGAACCAAAACCAAGAGTCAGACACTCAACCAACTGAGCCACCCAGGTACCTGTTTTCCAGATTTTGTATTTAAATTTTTAACCTGACTCAAAATTGTGATCTACTAGACTACAGCCCACTGGCAAGTTGAGTGATGTGCCAAGTTTGGCTTGTTGTGGCTCATGTAGATAGCTCTGCTAAGGATAGGAACTGATTCTTTCTCAGAGGAGACTGATGTTTTGTCCCTCATTAAAAAAAAAAGTTAGAAATTTCTGTAAATATAAACAATTGAGAGCATGTAACACCATTATGTTATACAGAGTTTAGCACATTGGTATTGGAGGGAAGGAGAATGTGCAATAATCTTTAACAAAGTTCAATTCAAGAAATAATGCAATTTAACTTAATATAAACAACAGAAGTTGTGTTCTTCAACCTTAATAGAAATGGTCATTGTCTAAACAAAATTTGAGAGGCACTAAAGATTTAAGTTTAAGCAGCTAAGTTACTTCAATTTTTTTCTTTTGTACTAGGAATTTAGAAAAGGTACCTTTCAAGTAAATTTAAAAAAGTTATTTTCTTTAGTAATTTAGTTCTTGATATATCTGAGAAGTTTTTTATTTAGGTACACAACAAAGAAAGCATCTGAAATCCTTACAGAGTTTTGAGCAAATTAAAAACATTTTTAAAGCTTTTTCTATCTTAATTCTGCTAGACTACATCAAAGTGCCTCAACTCTGGGCCTGTAGTTGTTCAAATCCAAAGGACATCACAGTGTTATGTGAATACCCTCCCTGATTTTGTGTAGTAGACCAATTACTAGCTGTGACAGTCATTCATACATTTTGCAGCAGGTATTTTGATTTAGGCTCTATGCTGATTTTGGTAATCTTAATATAAATAGGAATGTTGCTTAGCCTCAGATGAATGATCATCACAGGTTATAGGAATTAATTCTGGATTAATACTATCAAATTTTTGTGCTTTTCAGCATATCACCTGGATATTTGAAGCTTTACTTCAACTTAGTATACACTGATACATGCTTTATTCTGTTTTGCTGTTTGTAGAAAAAATTCCTGAGGTAGATTAACACCAAATGTTGGATTTTTTTTCCCCATGGCTTCCTTGGTCACTGTTCATTATTAACTCATCAATAAGTTTATGGACTATATTTAGTTATAAATAACAGCTATCCTCTACAAACCTTGAGAGTATATGGAATTTAAAGCCTGTTATTTTATGAAATAAAAATGATAAATCAAGAGGAAATGTTCAACTTTTTACTTAAATATGCATGGGACTATCACCTTGGTTGAGTTAGGTATACTGTTCAAGGAACATGTGTGGTACTACCCCAAGTAATGGATCTCAAGGCAAGAGAAAATGCCAAATTCTTTGGAACTGATAACATATAAAAGCAACTAGAATCCATACATTGTGCAGAATTATGATTAAAACAGTGACCACCAATTTGTCAGAAACCTCCCATTGACTTTGAATAGAAGTCAACTAGCTTCTAGAGGCATTTGATTACACTAAGACAAAAATGAAACTGAATTTTGCCAAATAGTAAAGCATCAGCATCAAAACTTATAGAACAGGTATCTGGTGTTGACAGTTTTCAGTCAATCCAGACAGCAGGGTGGTGGTGACACTCTTAGGACATACAGCTTTACCAATACCTTTGATAGCATACAAGATGGTACTGGGTGGAAGCACATGGATATCAACAACTCCTGAGTTGAAAAGTGTTTCAGAAGAGTCTGATTCTAAAAGAAAGCACTGTGCCATATTTTATTGGTATTTTTTTCTTTTTAGTGGAACATAAATAAAATAATGGTAATTCTTAATAATCGATGGCACTTAGGTGAAACACAGTATTAAACATTTAATCAATGACAAACACAAAATATCTTCTGAAAGCTCTGCAAGTAAATCAGTCAACACTAAACAATAGCTGTATCTTTAGTTTTTCCTTGGAAAGAACCTTAAAAGGAAAAAAGAAAAAAAACTCAACAAAACAAAACAAAACACAGAAATAGCTTAATTGAAGATTGCAGGCAGGCCACTTCTGGTTTACCAATTATTTTTATATTGACATGTTAGCACAGACTAGTTTTTATTTCAATTTATTCATGTTAAAACACAAAACTGACAAATCATTTCTCTAATTATTATTAGACTTTGACATAAAGACATTTCACATGCATGCTTACAGCAAAATAGGAACACATAACTTGAGATTCCAGCCAATTTTTATTTTCTTGAAGCTGTTTATCATCTGTAAATTTTCTCATTTTCTATCCTTCAGGCTCCTTCCTGCTGCCTACCTTTGGTCAATTATTGCTTCTCAGTATCATCACCAGCACAAGGACAAAAAATATGAAATAGTAAAATCAGTCCATCTGGTAATTTAATAGTTCTATTAAAGGGATTAATAAAAGGATATAAGTAATGTCCAAAATGAACTTATAGGATTATCAATGAATCCCAATTATTCCTACCATCTTCCCCACACAGATATTTGAGTTTTGTGTATGTGTATGCTTTTGTATGGATGGAACTTTAGGGAAAAATTTTAAGATATAGAAACACATGGGGTTGCCTGGGTGGCTTAGTTGTTAAGCATCTGCCTTGGCTCAGGTCATGATCCCAGGATCCTGGGATTGAGCTCCACATTGGGGCTCCCTGCTCAGCAGGAAGCCTGCTTTTCCCTCTCCCACTCCCTCTGCTTGTGTTCCCTCTCTTGCTGCCTATCATATAAATAAATAAAATCTTAAAAAAAAAAGATATAGAAACATATGTCCAAGTTTATAAGGTAAAATAACACATATACACTTTTAGTTTTATTTTGGTAAGAGCAATAAATAAGACAGATTTTTATCATCAATTTCAGAGCTGTTTGCATCTAATTATTTATTAATTAGATAATCACAGTATTTTAAGAATTGATTTTATCTGAATTTGTGAGAGATGGATTTCTTTCCAAAAAAGTATTTCTATTCTTACAGTGCTCTGAAGATCTTGTAGTATGCTGTTTTTATCAGTTCATCAGAAGAGGACTACTATGCTCAAAGAGAGAACTGCCAATAAACACTTAGAACTGTACTGAAACCAAAGCCCAAAAAGAAGATGGAAAAACTCTAAAGGTATGTTTAGAAAATTATTCAAAACTACGATAGTACTATATGAACACAGCAATGCTCCACAAATCCATCCTTAATAAAAAAGAAAATTAAAATAGTGCTAAACATCAAAAAAATCCCTTTTCTGAGCTCACAGCCTTGAAATATTCTTTCACCAAAATGGATGATTTGTAATTTTGTGTTCTTAATATTATGCTACAACAATTATGTTAATATAATTTTCATTGATTCACTTCAAAGAAACAAACAAAAATCTATAGAAAACTCTTCTTTTTGTAGTCTTCCTCAATCAAGAATGGCAAGGTATAGGATATTTAAGATGTCTCTAAATCAGACTATTTTGCATTTAAAGTAATTTCTAGAAAAATTTGCTCCCTGTAAGTTATCATGTCTTCTACATCTTTATAGACAAGCATTTCTTCAATGGACAACAGTTTATAGTTATTTAGGCTGAATGCTGATTTGTTCTGTATAGCATTTAACATTTTTAGGGATATTGTAACTGAATCACTCAAAGAGGAACAAACTGGGAAAATACGAGCATTCCACAAACTCAAACATGTCTTGTTTCCAGAGAACAGTTCCTCTGTAACTTGCAGATTCCAAATATCTAAGCATGACAGGAAACAGACTCCAAAGAATTGAAGTAACTTTATATCTGACAATGTTTTAACGTTCTTTTTCAAGTTGTCTTGCACTCCAAATGCCATAGTTGAATACTTTAAGTGTCCATTCATCTTCAAGCTTAAGGAACACACAAAAGAATATGCAGGCAGGACAGCTGTTGCTATGATATGACAACCACTAATAATGCAGTTTTCCCCAACTGAAACATCAGGCCCCAATCTGGAATACTCCACAACTGAGCCAGTTGCCACAGAACATCTTGAATCCAGTATACTTTGAATGATACAGGATGTATTACCAGAGCATTCTGGTATTGCAGAAAAGATGCTAAAAGCTATGGACTGTAAGCCAAGCTCTGACTTCAAACTGCTATCTGAAGTAAAATGAAACAAATATTCTTCAGTTGTTCCAATGTGATAAAATTTGGAGTTATTAAGAACAACAACATTTAATGAGGTTCCTTTAAGAAGATGAAATATTCTCTGCCTAATGTCTATCAAGTCTGCCTCTTCTTTAGTGACATTTGATGTGTTTCTGGTGTACTCCACAGTTGCTCCAGGTCCCAAAGCTTGCAGAAAGTCTCCATAGGCATCTATTTCACAGTTCAATGTGCCTATTTTCTCAAAAAAAGCGAGTAACTTTTTGGCTGACTTATGATCCATATAAAACAAGCTGTCTGTGTAGACATACTCAGAGTCTAACTTAAGAGAGGGAGTGTCACCCCTAGCAAAGTCCTGTTGAGAAATATTTCCAGGTCTATATACAGCATCAAATTGATGCATCTTTTCTATGCTGGGCTTATGAAGGAAACGATGGCAAGACCTGTATTCAAGGTCTCTATATTCCAAATCATTAAAAGGTTCTAAGACAAATACTCCATGTGTGGTACCAACAGTCAAACTAGAAGGATGAGCTAAAGCAGTAAAGCCAGGTTTGTCAAATTTAATAAACTCACATTCTCCAACACTATAAAGTTCAATGTCATCTGCACAGGTAACCAGAATCCCAGGATTCATATGTGAAGGGAAATCAATGTACATGGCTAGTTTTAATTCCAACATCTGATAAATGGGGTTACCAAAAGGTAATGCAGTGAAAATTTTGCCCAGAGCACTTGCATTTGGAAGGCGTTGGCTGTAACCACCTATATAAAATTAAAGAAAATAACTGTTTTAAAATGTTTATAAGTCTCTAAGATTTTAAAAACCAGGGGCATCCGTCACAACTCAAAATATCTCTAAAGATATTTAATATATTTAAGGCAGTACTGTAACTCAGGAAAGAATAGTAAATTCCAGGCTACAAATTCAAGAGCAATTCTCCTGTAGTGATTTGATATAATGCAATGTTAGATTAGGAAAGAATTCTATTATATTTTAGAGGCTGTGAATTGTTTTGAATCAATTGTACAACCAGTAAAAAGAACCATGGGCTAAAAAATGATCTTATATCTATATTTTAAACCATAAATTGAAATGCAACAATGTTTAAACTCCTACATTAAGAATCTACTTCATAGTAAGGAAAAAAGTCACAAAAAACTAAAATACCAATTCCAAAATATAATTATTAAACAGTAATTTCCAGATGCAGTGTTTTTCCTCAAATTATTACATACACTCAAAGGAAGTAATGGTGCGTTTACTTAAGAGCATTTAAAATTTATACTTGTTTTTAATTTAAACAGGCTTTTTCCCTCTAAGATGAGTCTTATGACTTTTTAAAAATTCCTTGAAAAGCATGTTCTCTTAAGTACACTAAATAGCTTATATCATTTTTATGTAACTAATTATATTGAAAAGCAGCATTAGATTGTAGAAAGAGTCAGACAAAAACAGGTTCAAACTCTGGTTCACCACTTTTTAGTTGTTTATCTTTGGATTTACTCCAAATCAGCAAATGTAGAATAATACTTGCTTTATTGTGTTTTATGTAAAGCACTTAGACACATTATGTTGTTCAACAAATGAGAGCTAGTACTTTCTACTTTTTTCCTTTTTCAAAGACTAGCCAACACTTTTTAGCATTGTAAGAATTACCTTTTTTTAACTATGTATTTTCTTAGTGTCTAACTTAGTTTTTACTAAATTGGTAATAAATAATATTGGTTTTGGAATGAGCTATGAATTTGAATTTTTCTACTTTTTTAAAGTTAGTCTTAAAATCAAAACTTGGGTGCTTTACTTGATATCATCTTTATAAAGAATCATTGTTCTGTATATAAATCATAAGAAATAAAAAGTGCCTTGGAAGCCATGTAGATGAGTGGCTCTAAAATACCTGTCCCTGAACTGGTGCCAGTCCATAATAACATTTTTATCAGCTCCAGTACATACAGAAAAATAACAGAGGTTTGCATATAACCCAAATTCTCATATAACTAAGTTTACTGAAGAAAACTATCCTTTATTCTGAGATTATCTTTCCCACTTTTCTGTTTTAAAATGTCCTCCTTTGTGTGTGATTTTCCCTCTTACAACTTTCTTGTTCTCTCCATGTTTTGTCACCACCCTTTCTTTTGTTTTTAAACTCTTTTAAGGATTGTAAACTTTTGCCACCAATAATCAGATAAAAATGCATGGTAGAAAGTTTTGGCAAAAGTCTGGTAATCCCAGTGCTAAGTCAGCCTCTCCCCTACAATAATAATCCCTTTTCAAGCATTATCAAGAAATATTCATTATTTTGATGAATTCTATTTTAGGAAAATAATTTTCTATATATATACTAAAAATATCCATGAAAAGTTGATGATGAATGTGATCTAGAATTTTAAAGATACATTTGTGAAAAAACATTATGCTGCTTACAGCTTTCAAATATCAAGAAAAGCATGAAATATTTGTTTTCAAAGCAGAGTAACTTCAAAGACAAAAATTTAAAAAAGGAGAAGAAAGTATCTGCAAGGTAGAAAAAAGTCCCTAAGGTATCAAAGGTAAAATGTAAATTAGTGAAAAGAATATGTATAACTTTACCAGAATGAATTAATAGGATGGTAAAAGAATTCCATTTATCTCCATATAGCTTTTCTAAACATCGAAGGGCACAAAGTGTGGATCCTCCATTTCCTTAAAAATAAAAGTTAAAAAAACACAATTAATTTCATAGAAACCTACTGAAAATTTGTAATTACAGTAAAATTAGGTGTTATAACTTTGAAGATAGGGCCATTGGCTACAATTAACTAGGCAGAGAGCAAAGATATGGCCAAAGAATCACATTAAACACACGTTCCACAGCATTTAAATAAACAATTAGCAATGAAACCCAGAGATCAGCACTTGGTAATCAATGATGAGCATTATAATTTCCTGAAAATAATAATAAAAATAAAGTGATAAATTAGACAATTTGCAACACAAGAAGAGAGTAAATATACACATTCATTTGGAATTACAAACTGAAAAACCCATTAAAATAATTCTGCCATATGACAAAACCAAATATTTGAGTTAGATTTAAAAAGATCTTAACTATAACTACACTTACTAGTTACCTTGGGCAAGTTACTTAACTCTCTGTGCCTCAGATTCTCATCTATATGATAGGAATCATAAAAGTACTGACTGTACCATTATGAGGAGTAAAACACAGGTTAATTAGATCAATGCCAATGTCAGATATAGATACCCTGTATGGTATCAAGGGGCTTCAGCTTTAAGTATCACATAGAATGTGGCCCCCAGAAAAATAGCATGTATTTTTATTTGCAATGGAAGGTCAAAGGCAAAGTTGACTAAAACTGGGTTTTTAAAGTACGTATCTATGATACTTAGGCCATTAGACTGTGCTCTTTTGCTTTCTGCATTGTGGTTCCAAGAGGCCAAGTTCGTGTGCGTGTGTGTGTGTATGTATTTTTTTTGCTGATTTGCAATCTTTGTGTAAATTTCTGAACTATGAAGTTTGGAGGGACCTTAAGAGCCCTACCAGTAAAGTCCACAAGAATATTCACCATCTAAGTACATTAATTAAAATTAATAAAATTATTTTAAATAACATTCTGCAAGTTTTTCATGGTAAGCACAATGTGTAAGAACAGAATGTGTTATGCCTTTTATCTTTCTTAAAAAAATTGTAAATTTACATTAAATTTTTAAAGTTTGGAAAGACTATCGAAAGAAAGATAGAGAGCTCATAAATTGTGAGCCATAAGAAAGCTTTTCTTCAGTGATCATTATGCCCAGAACCTATGATTTAAATCTGACCATATAGAGAGTACCAATTTTGGCTCCAGCAGGATCAACAACAACATGATATTGAACTCCAAGGGGTAGCTCCTTTTTTTTCAGCTTTTCTGACAGCTGTTGCTTATAAGCAAGTTCCTGTTTTTCATCAGCTGCTGTTATTGCAACAATGTCCCAGAATTCTCCAGCTGCCACAGGTTTGCCTATGTGGAAAAAGTAGGGAAATAAGTATCAGAAATCTCTAGCTGTTACAGGTTTACCTTTTTGGAAAGAAAAAAAAAAAAGATTATCTTCCTAAATCTATCTTCTCAGAATTAGGGGATAATTAGTGGCTAGGTAGTATAATTCAAACTAGTTCTACTGAAGATTGTTCACAAATTTTGCATTTTTTCCTCTTTTAGATTACTTGCTCCTTTTATGGTTTACAGTTCATTTATTCACATATTCTGAAAGTTGTTACGTTTCTTAAGAGAAGTACTTTTGCCTTGCTAAAATTTACCTTGATTCTTAAATAACAAGAGACAAAAAGAGTATGAATCTTCAGCTGTGAAAATCAATTTTTATATCAGGACCACTTAGTGTTTGTTGGCCAAGTACAATTCAGCCCAAAGATCCATTCCTACAACGTTGCTGTTTATCAATTAATGTACTTTATTTTTTTTAAATTTTTTATTGTTATGTTAATCACCATACATTACATCATTAGTTTTTGATGTAATGTTCCATGATTCATTGTGCATAACACCCAGTGCTCCATGCAGAGGTACTTTATTTTTTATTACCTTAAGCTAAGCCATGCATGGGTTAGCCTGGTGATGGGTATTAAAGAGGGCACGTATTGAATGGAGCACTGGGTGTTATATGCAAACAACGAATTATGGAACACTACATCAAAAACTAATGATGTAATGTATGGTGATTAACAAAACATAAAAAAATTAAAAAAAAAATAAAGACAGGGTGAACTCAAAAAAAAAAAAAAAAAAAGATGAGCCATGCAAGTTTACAAAGGCTTTGAAGTATGATCTAAAATTCTGGATAACAGAAAAGTTCCCAACTCCTTGATGAGCTCATTAAAAAACAACCAAAAAACCAAAACACCAACAACAAAAAAACCAGACCGAATTTTTGGTAGATGTTGGAAACTCTTCTTTATTGGTAAACAAGATGAATAAGGATTCTTATTAGTTAACAAACAGAATCTGTCAAAATTTAATAGTCCTGAATATCTTACTGTCTTCCAAGTATTATTTCCTGTATTTTTAATGTAGTAACTTCATCAAAAAATAACTAATTTTATTAGATAATTGTACAAGGAATGACAAATGGCAGTTCTTTAATTTTTTTTTGATACAAACTACCCCTTTTAAATTTTAACCTATAATTCCTCCATGTCTTGTTTTTTACTCATTCTGCATTCACAGTATGGAACAAACTGGTGAAGTAGTAAGGGGATTGCAGAAGGCTAAAATCAGATATTTATTGGTCAAAGCACTTAGATCATTTAGATTTATTTTAAATAACTATTGTTAATGAGCTAACCAAATGCTTAACTTAGATTTGTAGCTTCACTAGTCAGATTAATACTTTTCTTTCTTCTTCCTTCTCTTATTTTATAATAATTTATTTCCTTCTCTCTTATTTTAAACATACATATATATGTTACTAGGAATAAGGTCAAAGAAATAAAGTAACAACATAACGTAAAGAAGACAATGACAGAATAAAAAAAATCAAGAGGAGTATTAACTACGGCAGGGCCTGTGTCCTAAACCCGAAGGTGAGAAGCAGACAGGAAGTGATAGTCTAGCAAACTTCCCGGAACGCAAAGCACCCTCCCTGTCCATTGCCGGGGAGAGCTGGGATTCCCTTTTTGCTACCTCTCAGCTCTGAAAACCTCCGCAATTTTCTTTGGGTGGCTTCTCGCAGAGCTACGCCTAAGGGTGCAACTGCAGCAGCCATAGCAACAACACCGACCCCCAAACCAGCGGAAGCCTTCCAAGTATCCGGCGCCGGGTACAGCACGCATGCGCCCCCGAGTGTAACCTGTTCCTGGGTCCGGTTTCGCCTCTGTCCCGCCCTTTACGTGCGTCATTCACGTAACCACGCCCCCGAAGCTCCGGCCTGCCGGGAGAAAACCTTGCGGGACTGAGTCTGGAGTCTGGCCTCGTTTCCCTAGCAACCGACTCCGGAGCAGATGAATACCTAGCGATTTGTCGGACTGTGCCGGGTCTGGGCCGTTTGTTCCCAACTCAAGGCCTTGTAGACCAGTTGACCCGGTGAGTGGTTCGGGTTGGGCGATAGAATTGTTAGAACTGACCCGCTAAGAAGACGAAACTACAACTTAGCTCCCGGCTTTCTCTCGAAAGGTGGTCGTCCTTTCTAACTCGCGGTTTGTTTCAGCCAGGAGCAGTTCCCAAAGACCTCTTGACAAGTTAATTCCTCCCCCAAGGTCGTCACTTGAAGACATCTGCTCCAAGCCTAGGTCCTGATATATAGTCTGAACATTCAAAATCTCTGTATTCTCTTCAGGAACCTTAGGTTTGTGGCTTCTTTGCCCTTGCAGTTCTTAGTAAGTGAGCCTCACCACCCCTCAGTTTTGAATTCACGTCAGAGGCTTTTGTAAATTGTATATAATTCAGTCTGTGACTAGTCCTTTAACATTTGTGGTATTGGGTTTATTCACTGGCATTCTTTTGTATGTGCAGACTGATCAAACACTTTAAATAACATTACTGGGAATAAGTCAGATCTATTTAGATGTATTTTTGGTAGATATCTATAAGTATTTCTCTTGTAAAGCACAAGTTTATAATGAGTTTTACAGATTAATCTGTTCATCTTTACATATGTTATGAATCAGAATAATGACTTAGTGAAGGTCTCACAATCAGTAGTAGAGAAGACTTAAGCACTATTTTTCAATCCCAAACCCACAAATCATCTACCACACCATGCATTTTGATTTATTTTAGAAACCTGACTTCATGAAACTATTCATCAGTGCCATAGGCAGGCATTCAGGGCTCTAAAATACAAGTTCTTGCCATGAACTTAACATTATTTTTGTTTGGTTGTTTTTTTACTAAAGACTTGGCTCTGCATTTACTTCTGTACTTAAAGAGAAATCATTTGGGTAAAAAGGGAGATTAGTTTTGCATAGTTTCATCATTTAAAAGTTTTTTGTTGTTAATAAAAACAAAACATTAAGAACATTTAGAAAATACAGAAGGCTTGAGTGAGGTGAGAGCAAAAGGGAGTGAGCAATACAGGTCAGAGAGGTGACAAAGGCTAAAGAAGGGATTTTGGTTTTTTGTCCTGAGTGAAGCAAAGTCATTGCAGAGTTTTGATGTGACTTGCCTTATGTCTAAAAAGATCACCCAGAAATGTACAAGTAGACTGTAGTGGAGGGTGCGTCAAGGAGAGAGTTGGTGGAGACTTGGCCATGATAGTAACAGTCGGGATGCTGAGAAATTGACTAGATTCTAGACATACTTTTGAAGGCACAATCAATACAATTTGCTAATGGTATGGCTATGGAATGTTAGAGAATGAGAGAAATCAAGACTGACCGCCTGAAGGTTAGAATGGCCATCAATTGAGATGGGAAAGGCTATGGATGGGGAATGTTGGTAGTAGGGAGAGTCCACAATTTTGGTTTTGGACATGTGGAATATATGGATGTATACAGATGTGTGTGTATGCACTACAAATGTAATGGAAGTTTGTGTGTGTGTATGTGTCTATAGGCATTATACATATGAGTCCAGAGTTCATGAGTGAGGTCTGGGCTAGAGAGATAACTTTAGGAATCCTCAGCATACAGATGGAATTATTTTTATTTTATTATTTTATTTTATTTTATTTTTTGAAAGTTTTAATTCCAGTTGGTTATCATATGGTGTAGTATTAGATTCTGGTGTACATAAAAGTAGTGATTCAACACTTCGTAGAATACCTGGTGTTCATAACAAGTGCACTCCTTAATCCCCACCACCTATTTAACCCATCCCCCACCCACCTCCCTTCTGGTAACCATCAATGTGTTCTCTGTAGTTAAAAATCTTTTTCTTGGTTTGCCTGTCTGTTCCTCCCCACCCCCCCCCCCCCAATTTGCTCATTTGTTTTGTTTCTTAAATTCTACGTATGAGTGAAGTCATATGATAGTTGTCATTCTCTGACTGCCTTATTTCACTTAGCATTATATTCTAGCTCTATCCACTCCATTTCATTCTTTTGTTATGGCTGGATAATATTCCATTGTGTGTACAAAATCTTCCCCACCCCCTCAGATCTAGGATTAGGATTTGGTTTAGGACCAGAATAATGGTTAGGGTTAGGGTTGGGGTCAGGGACGGTGCAAGTGTATGTGCCTACTATCCTGTAGTTCAGAGACCTCTCCAGAGGGATAACTTTAGGTTTAGAGTTATGGCTAGGGGTTAGATGGGGTTAATTTTAAACTACAAAACTAGATGAGATCCTAGGGGAAGAAAGGTTAATAAAGCTTATAAGCTCAAGAATTGTGCATACTAACAAGGTAAACAATGAAAAAGTGACCAAATAAAATTTTGGATAGTGATAAGAACTGTGAAGGGACTAAAACAGAGTGATATAATAGACTCTATTATGTAGAGTATTAAATACAGCATTTCATGGACCTAGGAAGGATTGCCATAGAAATTGATATTATTTTTTCTGATATGATTATTCATATAAAATGTGCTGGAAGTAAATATACCACATTATCAGCTGTGGTTTTTGTTCTTTCCTCTTTTCTCTTCTCAAATGTTCATTAATATTTTTCTTTAAAGATTATTTATTTATTTGAGAGAGAGAATGAGATAGAGAGAGAGAGCATGAGAGGGAGGAGGGCCCGAGGGAGAAGCCGACTCACTGCTGAGCAGGGAGCCCGATGTGGGACTCGATCCTGGGACTCCAGGATCATGACCTGAGCCGAAGGCATTTGCTTAACCAACTGAGCCACCCAGGTGCCCCAAATGTTCATTAATATTAATTTTTAAGTAAAAATGAAAAAATATTGAATACTATGTGAGTAGTATTTTTACTACTCATTCGACAATACTTTTGCAAATTATATGTCTTTAATTTTAATGAAATACAGGTTATAAAATATTGCTTTCATGGGTTATGATTTTTTTATTATTATACCTAAGGTCACCTAGATTTTCTTCTAGGAGTTTTAAAGTTTTATAGTTTTATGTTTTACATTTGGATCATTGATCCACTTTGAATTAATTTTTCTGAAGGTGTAAAGTCTATGTCTAGATTCATGTTTTTTGTTTGTTTGTTTTTGCCTGTGGATGTCCAATTTTTTCAGCACCATTTGTTGAAAGTATTGTATTGTCTTCTTTGTCAAAGATCAGTTGACTATATTTCTATTTATGGACTCTATTCTGTTCCGATGGTCTTTCTGTTGTTTCGATAATGCTACACAGTCTTGACAACTATAGCTTTATAGTAAGTCTTAAAGTCTGGTAGTGTCATTCCTCCAACTTTGTTCTTCTTCGATAGTGTGTTAGAGGGGCGCCTGGGTGGCTCAGTCATTAAGCGTCTGCCTTCGGCTCAGGTCATGATCCCAGGATCCTGGGGTCGAGCCCCACATCGGGCTCCCTGCTCAGCGGGAAGCCTGCTTCTCCCTCTCCCACTCTCCGTGCTTGTGTTCCCTCTCTTGTTATGTCTCTCTCTGTCAAATAAATAAAATCTTTAAAAATAGTGTATTAGATATTGTAGGTTTTTGCCTCTTTTATCAACTTTAAAATCAGTTTGTTGATATTGATAAAATAATTTGCTGAGATTTTGAATGGGTTTGCACTGAATTTATAGAGCAAGTTGGGAGGAACTGACATCTTGATACTGAGTTTTCCTATCCAGGCTATCAATGCACATGAAGTCTCTCTCCATTTATTTAGTTCTTTGATTTTGCTCATCAGGAGTTTGTTGTTTTCCTTCTATAGATCTTGTACATATTTTGTTACATTTATACCTAAATATTTCATTTTGGGAGGTCCTAATGTAAACAATATTGTGTTTTTAGTTTGTTCATTGGTGGTATGTAGGAAAATGTTTGGATTTTGTGTATGAACCTTGTGTCTGCAACCTGTTATAATCACTTATTTGTTCCTGGGTTTAGTGAGGGTTTTTTGTTTGTTTTGTTTTTGTTTTTGTTTTGTTTTTTATTGGTTCTTTTGGATTTTCTTTTTTTAATATTTTATTTATTTATTTGAGGAGAAAGTGAGAGAGAGAATGAGCATGAGTTGGGGGAGGGTAGGGACAGAGGAAGAGGGAGAAGCAGACTCTCCACTGAGCGGGGAGCTGGGCTTTGATACTAGGACCCTGAGATCATGACCTGAGCCTAAGGCAGATGCTTAACCGACTGAGCCACTCAGGTGCCCTCTTTTGGATTTTTTATGTAGATGATCATGCCATCTGTGAACAAACAGTTTTATTTCCTCCTCCCCAATCTGTATATATTTTTAAATTTCCTTGCCCTGTCTTACTGAAATAGCTAAGACTTTCAGTAGGATGTTAAAAAGCAATGATGAGTTGGGACATCCTTGCGTTGGACCTGATCTTAGTGGGGAAGCTTCTAATTTCTTACCATTAAGTATGATGTTAGCTACAGAATTTTTATAGATAACTTTTATCAAGTTGAAGAAGTTCTCTATTCCTAGATTACTGAGAATTTTTGTCATGAATAGAGTTGGATTTGATTTAATGACTTTTCTGTATCTGTTGAAATGATCATGTGATTTTTCTTTTTTTTAGCCTGCTATTGTGATGGATTACACTAATTGGTTTGTGAATATTGAACCAGACTTGCATATCTGGGAAAAATCCCACTTGGTAGATTCTTTTTATCCATTGTTGGATTCAGTTTACTAAATTTTTTTTCAGGATTTTTGCATCTGTTTTCAGGAGAAACATTGGTCTGTTCTTTTCCTTTCTTGTAATGTCTTTGGCCATAGTGTTAGGATAAAGCTGACCTCATAG